AATTTTGTAAATTTGAACTTAAATCAAGTCGAGTTGATCTAAAAAATTATTTGAGTTCAATTTATTGTCTAAATAAACGAATTCGAGTCGAATTCAGAACAAATAAAATTCAAGTTAAACCCGAATAACTTAAATTATTTATGACATCTGCCCCTAATTTTAGGATTCGAATCCGTCCATTACTCTTTTCTTTCAATTCCTCTTAATATAGTGCTAGATGAGTGATATATGTAAGATTTTAAATTTTAATAGATAAAATATTTTTTAAAAAAAATTTCTCATAAAAAAAATTTATTTATTGAAAAAAAATGAATAATGGAAGGAATCTAAATACGTAATTTTATTGAATTTTCGAGAAAGGTGATAAGGGAGAGTACGGTAACGGATGGTGCACCTGTGATTTGATTGGGAATAACAAATTGGGGACACATTATTGCGGGACCCACGAGAAATGTACTGGCCTGACCAAGTGAGGGTAAATCAAGGGCTTCTTGAATGTGAACCGTCCATCTGGTTAAGTTCACTGCACCTTTTACTGAGACAGATGCTGTATGATTGACCAAGAGACATAATCTGATCTTCCCATGCCTGAATGGCCACGGGTAACTCTTTCTGGCAATTATCAAAAGTTATAATATTTAAATATTAATCATAACTCGTATATAAAGGCATAATAAAATATTAAATTTAAGTCTTTAAAAAATTAATTACACTATATTAAATAAATTATTTTTTCATTTATTTGATTATATCATTTAAAATTTATTTGTATCCATTATTTTTTAAAAAATATCGACAAAAATACGTAATTCGATAAATTTTTTCAACATGTGTATACTATCGTGTATAAATAATGTCTAAAATAAAAATTATATTAAATTATAAATTAATCAAATATTAAATGATTAAACATGTGATATAAATAAATGATGAGATGGTTTTGGGAGAAAAATATATATGGAATAAAATTTCAAACACTTGGTTGTTTTATTATATAGATTTTAAATAATAATTTAAAAAACTTAATTTATAACTCAAAAATTATGATCGACCATAATATTTTATAATTAGTTATAAAAAATATAATTTTTAAAAATTATATTACATCTTTTAAAAATTAAACTATAATTGATTGAGTTTGTTTATGAACAATCACAATACATTATAATTAATTATAATTTATCATTTACAGTGTAACGATGATATTTTTAAGTACGGTAATAATAAAATTCATCTTTTTTTATTTAGGTTGATATCGTTGTTTTAGTCCAATTTTTCATTTCTCAACATAAATAAAGAATAAGCCGGTGATATTAAATAATTATTTTTTAATATTTTATTAAAAATTATCAAGAAACAAAAATAAAATTACTACTCAATCTAGTAAAATTATAGGCTTGAGATCGATATTAAGATTAAGTTGTAACACACTTTTTCTAAATCTTAGTTTTTTATATTAAATGAGTTATAATTACTCTTATTTAGTTATAAATTTCACTACAATATTAACGATATATCATTGGATTGTACTAGAGGGAGCACAAAAGATTTGGGAGAGAGAATCATTAGAAACATCCAAACAACAAAAGCCCAAGAATATAGAAGTGAAAATGGGTGTCTCATCACATCAAATATGGGGTAAGTAGTCAAATAATCATTATCCTAACTTTGAAAATCGGTGGAAATAATGATCAGCTATGTGTAATATGTCAAGTGGCTCGAAGTAAATGACAAGGCTACGGTACATCCAATGATATTTTTTAGTATCATACTAAAAATTTTAAATTATAATATTAATAGTATGTTTATTAAATTTATGGTATATTTACACCGATTGATAGATAAGACAAAACATTAAAATGAAATGACAAGACAAAACATATTTTTGAGCTGCCATTAAGTCAATTGAGGGCAAAATTACAACATTAGTGAGAAATTTAAGATTATAATGAACAAAATTACAATATTAATGAAAATTTTACAACAGTAGTGAATAAAATTACAAAATTTATGGGAATATTTACCAAATTTGTGAAAATATTTACAATTTCAGTGTTATATTTATCAAATTTGTAAGAATATTTACAACTTCAGTGATATGTTTACCAAATTTGTAAAAATCTTTATAATTTCATTGGTATGTTTACTAAATTTTTAGAAATTTCACTATAAGAATAGTGAAAAAAAATACCACAATAGTGGTACAAATTACAATATTAGTGAAAAATTTAAAACAATAGTGGAAAAAATTTTATGAATGTTTATGATCTATCACAAGAATTTAATAGATCAAACAATAATTTGATCGATTTTTCAAAATTTAATTTTAAAATATGTTTAATAAAATTCATTTTTAAATTATAAAAAAAAATTGGATAAATTTTTTAAAAAATTTAAAATTAAATTTTTATTAAACATATTTTTCATAGATCAATTAAACAAATAAATTTGGTTACACATACCGCTGATGTTGTAATTATTCTCATAAAGAATTCATTCAAATTATAAATATTTCCATAAAAGTGGTAAATAAAAGTGACAATTATTATTATTTTTTAGAATATATCAAAATTATTATTCAGAATATATCAAAATTATTATTTTTTTTATCTCTAAAATATTTGTCATCTATCTTAAGATCTTGTGATCTATCGTAAGGTTGAAGTAGTCTCCTCCAAATTTTTATGAAAAAAAGTAAATTTGTGATCGATCAAATCTCCCCATGATCGATCAAATCTCCTCATGGAGTTGTAAATATTTGAATCCATTGAAGTTGTAAAGATTTTCACAAATTTGGTAAACATACCACTGAAGTTGTAAATATTCTCACAAATTTGGTAAATATATCACTGAAGTTGTAAATATTCTCACAAATTTGATAAATGTTCCCACAAATTTTATAATTTTATTCACTACTGTTGTAAAATTTTCACTAATATCATAATTTTGTTCATTATAGTCGTAAATTTCTCACTAATATTGTAATTTTGCCCCCAATTGACTTAATGACAGCTCAAAAATATGTCTTATCTTATCATTTCAATGTCTTATCTTGTCATTTTAATATCTTGTCTTGTCTACCAATCGATGTAAATATACCATAAATTTAGTAAACATATCATTAATGTTGTAATTTGAAATTTTTGATATGGTACAGAAAATACCCTTGGATGTACCATAGCCTTCTCCGGAAGTAAAATATCCTCAAATAAGTTATTAGAATTACTATTCAAGTAGATTTTTTTTATCTTATTAAAACCTTCTTAATATATACTTGATTTATTTATAATTGTGTATTATGTCGAGTTCGTGTCTAAAATTGGCATACATATAAGCCGGCCGACTCGATGTAAATAGGGGACCTAGATTTAAATAGGGGCCTTTTAAAATTTTTTATAAATATATTATATGATTAATATGTTATTTAAAAATTATTTTTTTACTTTTTGAGACACAAATTTAGTAATTAAACTTTTATATTTTAGTTTCGCTAATATATTATTTTTAATGGCTAATAGGGCTAATTCATTCAATCTTTTTTGTGACATAGTTGATTGTAAGTAAAATTTTATAAGTTTTAATGTTGAAAAATTTCTGTCAGTCAAAAGAGATGCTTACCTACAGGTTTTTAATGGAGAGAGAGAGAGAGAGAGATTCCTAAAAGCTAAAAAAGGATATATGTAGTTTAGAGTGGATTTAGTTACTAATCGACGCGAGTATAGAAAAGGTGTACTTAGTAGTTTGGTAATTTTAAATTAAATGGGGTGGGAATAAGCCTGACAATTCTAATTATGACTCGTGAAACCGACACAAACCCGACACAAATTTAGTGAGTTTGAGTATAGTTCTAACGGGTTCGTGTGGTTAACGAATTAACTCGGTAGACTCGTGAAATAAATGAACCGATTTTGTGTTTAACCTATAAACTTGTTTCAACCCGTTTAACCAGTAAACAGTGGTACAATAAATTTTTAAAAAATAAGTTAAATCTTTTAGCCTTTGTCCTATCTCCCATCTCTTATCTCTCATAATCATTTAAATTTAGTAGTCATTTAATGTTTATTTTTTATATTTATTTTTTTGCTTAGTCATAATTTATTATTATAGTAAACAGGTCAAACATGTGTAATGTGTGGTGAGTTAATGATTTTTCATGTGAACTCAAAATTATCTTACATATTCTCTTATTTAGCGAGTGACACGCAGGTTGTATCGAATAACCCATCTAATAAACGATTCGTGTATGAGTGTGATAGTTGAACTCGTTTATATAAACAAATAGGGTACGAATAAATAAATTTTTGATACAAACCCGTTCCACCGGATATGAAATTATTCCAATCGACGCGATTGCTAGGTGGGAATAGCCCCAACATAATAGTAATTCTCAAAGAATATAACATTATTTGAGACTTCTCCTTTTTGGAGGTTGGGGGCAAACATTTAAGCTCCTTACCTATTAGCCCAGCCCTACATATTAGGCTTGCCAATCGTGTCAAAAAACATTTTACGCATAACTAATTCGTTTATTAATTCGTCTCTAACTAATTGTATTATATTAAATTTATATCGTATATAACTAATATATAAATAGTTAGTATTGTATATATTTTTTAATTTACTTCAATCATATTGATTCATTTATTAATTGTATTGTATTATATCTACTTATTTACAAAATAAATGACTAAAAAAAAACTCAATCATTTTAATTTTGTATTTTATTAATGACTCATGTCAACACCCCTAAATTTCATATAGTAAAAATAAATAAATAAATAAATTTCATATAGCTTCAAATGGTATGGAGAAAAATAAAATAGCATGAAATGGGCAGGTGTTTTGGTCACATGGCCTTCTGTTGTCCATTTGCTGGAGTAGCCTAGAAACCTGGACTTTTGCAAGTCTATGAATATCACTGACGCAAAGAATCATGGTGCCATTTAGAGAGAGAGAGAGAGAGTCGCAATCACATAGATTAATTTTCTACACTATAAATATCAGAATTGCAAGGTTTCTCGTGAGAGCTCACAAGTCACAAGCCAATAAATCCGACACCACCCCTTTAAGCAGCCAGCATTCACGCATTTCCTCCCCTTTAATCTCGCACCCATCATCATCACTCTAAAATCTCTCTCGCAGCGTTCTCTGAACCATTTTCTGTATCTCCAACCCTTTTGGTTGCCTAGCCTAGATACTTAACTACTCTTGGCTCCTCACTTCTGGGGTACTCCAAACTTGCATTGCTTTCTCTGATCTGGGAATTTGAGATTATATACAATGATGACTCTTCATTCTCATAAAACCCTTCATCAGTTTCCCAGGTTCAGTTTTGATTCTGTTAACTTTCTCTTGGGTCATTTGGAATAACTTGTGTAATATCATAGTTAACTTCGAATATGGATCACAACTGTCAGTCCTTTTCTTTGTAATATGTTTGAGTGATCTATACCTTACTGGGTTACTTAGTTTAGAACTCTAAAGCCTCTACTTTACTGGGATTAGTGCTCCTCTGCTTCATTTGTGATCCACCATCACCATTTGTGATCTTCTCATCATAAACCATTTTGGGTGACTGATTTGTGATGGATTCTTGCTGCGCAACGGTGAAATCCAATACCCATATGGGAAAAATAAGTAAAAGTGGTCTCAACTATGAAATTAATGGGTTTTGGGGAGAGAGAATCAGAGGTAGTCTAAGCAACAATCTTTCGTTTAATCACTTAACAGAAAGTTGGAGACCTGAGAGGAAAGTGAAGAAGAACAGACCTCAAATTGCTATGTCTATCATCACAACAGATACTGGCAAAGAGACTAAGGTAAGTTAGTTTCTTTCTTCAATCCAAGTTATTTCCATTCAGCGATTCTTCTCCGTGATCTTGATTATTTTGAGTAGAAAGAAAGAAAAGAATCCGTTGGTTACAAAATGTTCAAATCATGGGAGGCAAACATTGTAAGACACATAAATTGGTTTAGAATTTCTATAAATTCTTTGAGGAAATTTGTTGCTTTTGATTTCACAGACCATTGAAGCACCCAGATTTGAGAGACGAAGAGCAAACCCAAAAAATGTGGCTGCCATCATATTGGGTGGAGGTGCAGGGACTCAGCTGTTTCCACTTACAAGCAGAACTGCAACCCCAGCTGTAAGAAATTACTTTCTAGTGTTTATGTGCTTATTATGGTGTACATGAATGTTTATTGTGATTATATGAAGTTATATGTATCTTGAGGTGAGGATCAAATTTTTGTTTTGACCAAAACGAATCAATGGTTGGTAATCAAAATTTCCATGTGTTATCTGTGACAATTCTATTCTCTGTTTATCGAAACATTTTTATTAGCGTATTGACTGAAACTATGCACCAAAACAAAATCAAAATTGTGACCAGCTATTTCTGGACAATTCACAATTTAGTTAGAGAGATACTTTGCTTTTTTCCCTTACTTTGGTAGGGCAAAAAGCCCAGAACCAAAAATAAAAAATAAGAAGCGTTTTCAGAACCCTTCCCCTATTGCTAATTAATTCTCCAGTTCTGAAAGAATTAATCTAAAATTCACCAAAAAATTATTTTTTACTTATGTGATATTATATGCAGGTTCCAGTGGGAGGATGCTATAGGCTTATAGACATCCCAATGAGCAACTGCATCAACAGCAACATAAACAAGATCTTTGTGCTCACTCAGTTCAACTCTGCTTCTCTCAATCGTCATATATATCGTACATATTTTGGAAATGGAGTGAACTTTGGGGATGGATTTGTGGAGGTAGGAGCCAAAAAAAAATCCTGCACATTTTTTCTTCTACATATTATAGTAACACATCATGGTGAAATTAATTGTACTTGAATATGAATTGCGTTACTGTCTGATACAAAAGATCAACTTGTATGAAATTCAGTATCTGCCAAGTTCTAAGTGAGATTCTGCACAAGACACAAAGCAAAGTGAAACAAATTTATGAAGGATATTAATTGCTGCTTATGTTCTGCAGTAATTTTTTTGTTCTATTATTATTTGAATGAGTGTGGAATCTACTTTTAATAATTCAGGTTCTGGCGGCAACTCAGACACCGGGGGAAGCAGGAATGAAGTGGTTTCAAGGGACTGCAGACGCTGTGAGGAAATTTACATGGGTGTTTGAGGTATTTATTTTGATCTTATTAATCAATATCAATCTACTCTACTGTCCCCAGGAACCATATCTGGATTGATGATCATGTTTAGCAAAGATGTTTCAATTCTGTTTGAGATCAACTTGATGTTAAATCTGATTTTTACCAAATGTTTCTCTAATAACTTCTACATCTGTTTAATTTAAATTTGATTTATTTTCATAGGATGTCAAGAACAAAGATGTAGACAATATAGTGATCTTATCTGGGGATCATCTCTATCGGATGGACTACATGGACTTTGTGCAGGTATATGTTGTCTTGCTTAATAGATTATACTTCATTTTTTATATTTCGCAGATTTTGCTAATTCTCTGGCTCTTTGCAATGCACCAACAGAATCACATTGACCGAAATGCTGATATTACACTCTCATGTGTCGCAGTTGGGGACAGGTCTGTTGGAACTTTTCATTGTCACTTGATGTTGTCATACCAGAAATGACATTTCCATTTGCTGATTTTTTTTTGTAGTTTTTCCTATACAAGGTCAATTACATGTTTTCTCACTTGAATTTACCAACTATGTTTCTCTGCTAAAGAAGTGATACAAGGGGGGATAGGGAGAGAGACAGAAAAGTTATTCTTATTGTTTCTTTTCATTGACATTTCTCAGTCGGGCGTCTGATTATGGATTGGTGAAGATTGACAGCAGAGGCCGAGTCATCCAGTTTGCAGAAAAACCAAAGGGTGCCAACCTGAAAGCAATGGTAAATTTATCTAATCTCCAAACGTAATTCTTGTTGTCCAAATTCTTGGTCCCAATATATCATACCGTCCTTCGTATATAACATAAGAGCTTCCTTGGTTTCAGTAAATTATCATACAAAAACTACGATTGACCTTCTTATGGAAAGATTTACAGGACTCCTGGTTTATTGCCCAGTTTTGCAAAATATAAGTCGATCAATTCACTAGAAATTCAGTGGTCTGATATAACTTGTAAGTAGCAAATTAAAAAAAACTGTTTACAGAGATGGTCTAAAGTTTAATGCCAGCCTGCTCTACTTGCAAAAATACCTTCTTAGATGGTTAGAAACACCCTAATGTGAAAGGTTCAGGCTCCTAACTGTTGGGTTTGCCTCTGTATTTTGTATTAATCAAAAATCATCCCTGCTAATATTGAATAATTTTGTTTGATCATGGTTCTTTTGGCTTGCTGCAGCAAGCAGATACCACTCGCCTAGGGTTGTCCCCACAAGATGCTGCTAAATCCCCATACATTGCTTCAATGGGAGTCTACGTATTTAAGACTGATATACTACTGAAACTTTTGAAGTGGAGATACCCTACAGCCAATGACTTTGGATCTGAAATCATTCCTTCAGCTGTGATGGAGCACAACATTCATGTAAGGAAACAAACTTAATTTTTGTCCTTGTTCGTATTTTATATAGATTTGTTTACTATGATTGTAAGACAAATTTATCTTGACAGGGATATGTATTCAGAGACTACTGGGAGGACATTGGAACGATAAAATCTTTCTATGATGCTAACTTAGCCCTCACAGATGAGGTTGTTTTCATCCTACAGCATTGAGATTCTGTGCATTTTCTTTTTGTTTCCATGTTTTCACTATATTATCAAACACTCTCTTTCATTGAAGATTTTCTGTGGTTCTACTTGACTTCTGCAACTTATTTCTTCATATTCAAATGATATTAATTCCCAAAAGTGACTATGAATGTGTCTAATGCAGTTTCCAAAGTTTGAATTTTATGATCCAAAGACACCTTTCTTTACGTCTCCCCGATTCTTACCACCAACCAAAATTGATGGATGCCGGGTAAGTTAGCATGCCTGGGATTGATATATGGCTTCATCCAAAGTGTCTGGATTTTCATGGTTCAATTGGTTTCTTCAGATAAAGGATGCAATAATCTCTCATGGCTGTTTCTTGCGAGAATGTATTGTTGAACACTCCATTGTCGGTGAACGCTCACGATTAGACCAAGGAGTTGAACTTAAGGTGAGTATGCCACAGTCCCAGATTTATATTCCTTAGATACAGAGGAAATAATATACCCGGAAAAGAGTTACAGAAAAATACTACAGATAAGAAAAATGCCTGTGTGTGCATGTGTCTATGGGTGGATCTGCGTATGCATTTGTTTGCTTCCCCCCAACAGAACTAAACTGAGTGCAAATGTGTTCTCCTTTCTTGTTTAATTTCTTCCTTACAGGACACTTTGATGATGGGGGCAGACTATTATCAAACAGAATCTGAAATTGCATCTCTCCTGGCAGACAATAAGGTCCCAATTGGGATCGGGCAAAATACAAAAATCAGGTACATGGACAGAGATACTGACATGTTTCATAAGCTTAGATGGCAAATCTGAATGTAAATCCTAACAAGGTTCCATCGTTTTCATTGAAGGAAGTGCATTATCGACAAGAATGCAAAGATAGGAAAAGATGTGATCATCATGAATAAAGATGTAAGCATAATCCTTGCTTATCAAATCTCTTTCTTGTCATGAATATGATCTAAATTGTGTATGTCCATTTGAACTATCTGGTCTTTAGGGTGTTCAAGAAGCAGACAGGCCAGATGAGGGATTTCATATTCGGTTGGGGATCACCATAATATTGGAGAAAGCAACAATCAATGATGGAACAGTGATATAATATTGAGCTCTAATATCCCTGAACTTGTTAAAGGTGGATATGGGAGAAGCCAGGAAATGTTGACTGGGGGCATCCTGTTTATTTGGCACTTGTGATCCTATATCTAGCTTTGAAGCTTCGGTAACAGCTGAGAGAAGGTCTTGTATAAATTTGAGGCTGCACCATACTGGCTGCTTTCTTTCCTTATGGAAGAGTTCATATGTTAAAGAGAGTTGAAACTTCTGGGTGTAGGAATGATCACAACCACACAATCATAGCTTTTACTGAACTTTCTTGTTAAATGAGAACTACATGGTTTTATACTTGAGCTGAAGCTTTATACAACATATTCAAATGTATGCACAAGTTCACCAAACATTCAAAAGTTCCGGTAGTGCTTCATATTATACTCGAAATATGCACAAATCATGGGCATGTATGGGTGAACCAGTTCGAGGCTACACTGTACAGATTATACAAGGGGTGTAACTTGGGCAGATTGGGCAGCTTTAGGAGCGTTTCCTAGTCCAAACCAACTTGGGGAGAGACACACCCAAGTACTGTCTAAACCCGACCTCAGATTACTGGCATAATGTGCAGATTTCAGACTGAGGAAACCATTCATGTTCAGCTTGGTTTGGGTGGTTTGAATTTTAGTCAAATACCTTCCCAAACAGCTACAATTCAAACCAAAATCTCTCATAATCTCAGCCAATAAGTTGCATCTCATCAAAGTTTATGTGCAGTGAAAATATCATAATTGATATGTATATATATAAGGTTGTCAAGACACCAATCTCAGCACCCTCCAAATTTCAGGTAGAAAGTGTTGAAATATGACACAATTCATTAACACGACACGAAATTAGAGAGGTTGCATTTTTTTTAAGCCACCCATTTTTTGTAAACGAGTGGACCTAAAATGGCACGACTAATAAACGAATTAAGTATGAGTAAAATTAATCAAAAAAAAATATACGACACAACTTATTTATATATCAATTATATTCGATACAAATGTGATATAACATGATTCGTTAGACATGAATTAATAAATGAATTAAGTATGAATAGAATGTTTTTTGACACAAACCCGTTAAAATTTTATACGAACCCGTTTCATCGTAGACGATTGACAGAAAAAGGAACAAGTCTGCAAAATTTTCAGATGGTCTAGACAGAGGCACGAGTTCAACCCTCAACTCACCCCTTCTTCACAAAAAGTTCCAGCATTCCATTCTATAAGAATACTAGCAATTGCTCGTGCCTGAAGGCACGATGTTACTTATAAATTAGTTACAAATATTTACTCATACATAAATATAAAGTAAAATATAACATTGTCGTAAACAACGAACAAAATGAGTCTACTAATATTTTTTATAACATCACCCTACATGCAAAATTATGTTAATTGTTACATCACGAAAATTATGTTAATTGTTACGTTACGAAAATTATGTTATAACTACTGAAACATAATAATTCAAATATTTGAAAAATTATATTAGTTGATAATATTCAATGTTCTTCTTTTGATTCAAAATTCACGATTTTAATATTCATAATCAATTTTATCTAAATAATAACAGAATTCATAATTAATAGAATGAAAATTAAAACAATACTTCCACAACTATAAAAAATTCAACCGACTTTCAAAAGATATGACCTGACTGTTGAATTTATATGATTCAAGTTTATAGTAGTGTTTTTAATTTTATATCATTCTTATTGGTTATTTATATTCTTAGTATATTTACTTAAATTAAATGTTATTTAGTATTGAATTATTTAGTAAAGACTGTTATTTCGTGTTGTTCATTAAATATTAAATTTGTATGATTCATGTTCATAGTATTGCTTATATCATTTCTCTCACTTGTAATTTTTTATCATTTTTTTTGGATTTTTAGAATTGGATTATTTAGTAAATATTGTTACTTTGTGTTGTTCACTAAATATTGAATTTGTATGATTCGTGTTTGTATATTTTAAATGTTAAGCATATTTTTTTTAATATATTTCTTGATATTTGAGTTGCCCAAAAACTTGAATTTAATCTCGTATATTTTACATGTTAATCATATTTTCTTTGTTAAATTAGATTTTTCGTAAGTTATGTTTTTTTTTTATTGATTATGAAAAAAATAAAATTGACTATTGAATTTGTATGATTTGAGTTTATAGTAGTGCTTTTAATTTTATATCATTCTTCTCGATTATTTATATTATTTATATATTTTCTTAAACTAAACGTTATTTAGTATTTGATTATTTAGTAAAGATTGTTTTTTCGTGTTGTTCACTAGATATTGAATTTATATAATTCGAATTTATAATATTTCTTATAATTTTGTATTATTTATCTACTTGTAATTTTGTATCATTTTTTTCGGGTATTTAAATTTGGATTATTTAGTAAATATTGTTATTTTATGTTGCTCACTAAATATTGAATTTGTATGATTCGTGTTTGTATATAAATTTAATCTTGTATATTTTAAATGTTATGCATATTTTCTTTAATATATCTCTTGATATCTGAGTTGTCCAATAACTTGAATTCTAATAATTTGAATTTAATCTTATAAATTTTACATGCTAAGCATATTTTTTTTTATTAAATTAGATTTTTTATAAGTTATGTTTTTTTTTATTAATCATGGAAAAAAATAAAATTGACTATTGAATTTGTATGATTCGTATTTGTAGTATTGCTTGAATGAAAGAGATAGATATAGAGGAATATTTTCGTGATATATACTATTTATCTAATATTTATTACATAATTTTTCTTCAGAGAGAGATACAAGGAAATATTTTTGTAATATACTACCTTTTTCTGTGATATATACTATATATTTATAGAGAGATATAGTATTTGCTTGAATCAAACACTCTAATATTTTTGTGAAATAGAGAGAAAAATATTGTGAAACATTAATACTTTTTCGTGAGAAAAATACAGAGAAATGAGAGAGATAGAGAGATTTGCTTGATTTAAGAAAAAAATTTGAGGGAATTAAATTTTGAAAACTATAAATTTTGAGTAGCAAAAATATTTCTAAAGAGTTAATGTGGTATGTTGGATTAAAACAATCTGAAACGTCTATAGTTTGAGACAGTTTGTGATAACACAGTCCGTTGGATGATGATTTTTTTAGTTACGAAACGATCTAGATTGTTTTTTGTCTCCAAAATTTAAAATTGTTCTACTTTATTATATACATTTTATCAAGAGTCAAAATATTTTTAAATTTTACATCTACTGTCATCTTTTCTCTGTCTCCTCATAACAAAGTTTTCCCACCCAATTAATCAATTTGCTTCACAATAAAACACCACACAACACGATCTTCTTTCTTACATTTTTTTAATTAAAAATAATTAAAAAAGAAAAATATTTTTCATAAATAATTTTATCGACTAGGGATTGAGATCACCTTTATTATATTTTCTCTTTAAATTTTTTGTAGCAAATCATCTCTCATGCATTTATATAGGATTTGTGGACCTCTCACTTAATAATTGTGTATGATTTCCCAAAAAAAAAAATTAGAAAGGTATATAATAGAAGAAATATAAGTCCATCCAAACCGGCATCTTGTACAAATGACAAAGCTATGTAAAATGATGAAATTGTATAAAAAAAATTGTAAAGTTAGAGGTCTTAAATTTAAAATTTGATAATTTATGGGGGTCAAACTATAAAAAATTTATCCTATTTGTGGCGTGGATTATTTATCTTTTGAACAGATGGAAGAGTATATTAGTGGAGGTATTAAACAGTATCTGAATCCAAGGTGACTTTGGTATTTCAACTACTGTTCAACCGCTTTGAACCACCGTCTGTCAACAATCTCTCTCCTCCGCTTTCCACTCATCGAAGGTAAACTTCAATTCCACTGCACTTTTCAATCTCTAAAACCTAACTTCTCACTGGTTGATTTATTGATCGATTTATTGCGTAGTAAAACCTAACCTCACAGCTGATTGATTGATTCATTCATTGCATAGTACTAACCTAACCTCACAGCTGATTTATTGATTGATTCATTACATTGGAAAACCCCTCTATGTATGATCTTGTGCATGAAAAAAAAAGGTTAATTATAGATCTGCTTCTGAATTGCATGTATTTTGGGGATTAGGGTTTGGGTTTTGATTTTGATGTAATTTGTTTTTCCCGATCAGTTAAGTTGTAGTCGTTTGTTTGGTGGCTGAGATACTGAGCTGAAGGAATTGACACTTGACAGTATATCAAATCTGGGTATTTCATGTCCGACTTGTTTCGGGATTAGTAAGAATGAAAACTTACTCAGCTCAAGTAAGCCAATTAGTTGGATTTGAGTTTACTTTTTGGTGTCCCATCAATGCTAAAATACAAGAATTCCTTCATTGGGTTTATTTCACTGCTTTTTTCCCAGCGATCAAACCGAGCACGAATGATGATGTGTGTCTGGTGGTTTTTAATGAATGTGTATATGTATTGTACATGGCCTGTTTGAGTTGATTGGAGATTATATAGGGTTTGGATTGTGGAGCTCAAATTTTGATGGAGGGCGTTGGAGGTGAGGGTCCTGGTGCCACAGCTACGGAATCAGTGAATCAATGGGTGCATAATATGTCGAGGCTTTTCCAATTTTATCTAGATAAAACTACTCCACATGCAGTTTATAGATGGATTGGAACATTTATTTTGGCATCTATCTATGCACTGCGGATTTATTATATTCAAGGGTTCTACATTATTATATATGGTCTGGGCATCTACATACTGAATTTGTTGATTGGATTTTTGTCGCCCCTTGTTGATCCGGAGCTGGAACCTTCTAATGGGCCTATGCTACCCACAAAAGGTTCGGATGAATTCAAGCCTTTCATTCGCCGCCTTCCTGAGTTTAAGTTCTGGTAATTATTTATTAATTTTTCTATTGCCTGTTTTTTTTGTTGGTATATTCTGCTGGGTAGCAATAATGTTGGCCTGATTAACTATTGTAATTTTGATCTGCTATAGGCTATAATTGATAGTTTTATTCTTCAATATATTTGAAATTATTGAGTGGTGCTAGAAGAATCTAAACAACAACATTTGGCTAAAGATTTTTGATATTTAAGAAAGTTCGACATATATGGAATTGTGTTTGGTTACCTAGAAATGTTAAACGTCAAAAGTACGCTCAAGCTCTTGACTCCATATCTTTAACTGTACTTGATTGATTTCCATGATTGTGATTATTATCCACCACCCTGATTCACTTGCACTTGGATTGTAAGCTGCAAGACGCATTGGATTAAAAGTTCCTAGTCATTTTTGGCTGCTTGCCAGCAAATATTGGGGAGCGCCAATATATGAGTTTTGTCAGTTAGTAGACTCGCTACACACTACTATCTGAAGACAATCTATATGACCCAGCTTGGGATGTTTGATTCCTCAAGCGGGGCCCAACTCCAAGATCCAACCGAGGGCCCCAGCTCCTCTTTGTTCACTTATGTTGTTTATTAGATTGATCCTAGAATGGGTTTGCAATTTCTTTTCTATCCAAATGGTGGCTGATGCATGAGAACATAGGTCCTGCTCCCAAGATGGTTGAACACTTACTGTCAGTCAGCACACCACCACAATGAAGTCTTTATCAGACGCTCTAATTTCTTAGGAAGAAGCACTCTATATGGTGTGATGACGTCTAATTCTTTGGCCAGTTGAAGGATGTGAACTTGATGAAATATAAATGGACAAGGAAAGATTTCAAATGNTTTTGGCATCTATCTATGCACTGCGGATTTATTATATTCAAGGGTTCTACATTATTATATATGGTCTGGGCATCTACATACTGAATTTGTTGATTGGATTTTTGTCGCCCCTTGTTGATCCGGAGCTGGAACCTTCTAATGGGCCTATGCTACCCACAAAAGGTTCGGATGAATTCAAGCCTTTCATTCGCCGCCTTCCTGAGTTTAAGTTCTGGTAATTATTTATTAATTTTTCTATTGCCTGTTTTTTTTGTTGGTATATTCTGCTGGGTAGCAATAATGTTGGCCTGATTAACTATTGTAATTTTGATCTGCTATAGGCTATAATTGATAGTTTTATTCTTCAATATATTTGAAATTATTGAGTGGTGCTAGAAGAATCTAAACAACAACATTTGGCTAAAGATTTTTGATATTTAAGAAAGTTCGACATATATGGAATTGTGTTTGGTTACCTAGAAATGTTAAACGTCAAAAGTACGCTCAAGCTCTTGACTCCATATCTTTAACTGTACTTGATTGATTTCCATGATTGTGATTATTATCCACCACCCTGATTCACTTGCACTTGGATTGTAAGCTGCAAGACGCATTGGATTAAAAGTTCCTAGTCATTTTTGGCTGCTTGCCAGCAAATATTGGGGAGCGCCAATATATGAGTTTTGTCAGTTAGTAGACTCGCTACACACTACTATCTGAAGACAATCTATATGACCCAGCTTGGGATGTTTGATTCCTCAAGCGGGGCCCAACTCCAAGATCCAACCGAGGGCCCCAGCTCCTCTTTGTTCACTTATGTTGTTTATTAGATTGATCCTAGAATGGGTTTGCAATTTCTTTTCTATCCAAATGGTGGCTGATGCATGAGAACATAGGTCCTGCTCCCAAGATGGTTGAACACTTACTGTCAGTCAGCACACCACCACAATGAAGTCTTTATCAGACGCTCTAATTTCTTAGGAAGAAGCACTCTATATGGTGTGATGACGTCTAATTCTTTGGCCAGTTGAAGGATGTGAACTTGATGAAATATAAATGGACAAGGAAAGATTTCAAATGAAGAAAGCTCCTTCCAAACTACTTCAATTAGCTTGCTATACTTTTTTTGTTTGTATGTGGGAATAATTTTGTTGTTTTTTTTGGTTCCAGGTATGCCATTACGAAGGCTTTCTGTATAGCATTTTTCATGACTTTCTTTTCCATGTTCGACATTCCTGTATTTTGGCCTATATTACTATGCTATTGGATTGTTCTATTTGCGCTCACCATGAAGCGCCAAATCATGCACATGATGAAATACAAGTATGTCCCATTCAGCATTGGAAAGCAGGTGAGCCTCAGCAATTTAAAATATCTTGCCCTCTGCTGCTGCCAACTGCCAACTATTGACGCAACTATTCATTGATTATGTCATTGTTGGCTAGTGTGGTAGAGAAGGAGCAACTCATCTTACATGGAATCATAACACAGTACTGTCATTTTGTAACAGAAATACGGTGGGAAGAAGTCTTCTGCAAGTAGTAGTGGCCTCCGTGGTGACTAGTCCAAATGCAGGAAGGAAAAGACTGACAGTTACGAGATCCATTGTCTTAGATTTTTATTTGAAGGAATGTATATTTACGTTATATTGGATTTGGAACATGGAGTTACCAAAATGTAGAATGGAATCTATTTTTGTATGACTGGCAATGTTATCTTCTTGACAGAACTATAATATGTACTCTAACCTCTGCATTGTAGTTTATGATAATTTTTTTGCACTGACAATGTTTTACTTCCGATCAATGTTTCACTGTGAAAACCAGTATGAGGTTTTTCCCACTGGTTAATGGTTATATTAACGTGCATTCATTTTCTGTCTCCTTTCCTTTTTGCATTAAGTCTCAATATTCAAACTACCTCGGGTTCGACTTGTTTTGGGCTTGGCTCGCAAGTTTGAACAATTTTTTAAGTTTGCCTATAAAAAAGAGCTCAACAAGTTTGATTTAAACTTGCAAAGTTTGTATATATTAGTAGCCTTAATCACAATCATTGAATTGGTTGTAAATCTTAACAAATATTGGGATTTACTATTAATTCAATAATTATGAGTGATTAAATAAACAAATTAAATCAATAAATCAGGTTCAAGTAGGATTGGTCATAAAAAATTTACATTGGATTGAGAAAAAGGATATTTTAAGGACTAAATAGGTAATTTGTTCCAAATTTAATATTGACAATTTTTTAAGTAATGATTCTATTTTGCCAAAAAAATATTTAAGACTTAATTAGTTGATTTCTTCCATTGTTGTCCTTTTACTAACAGTTAAAAAACTCAATAGATTATTTTGCAGGGGATGGGCAAAATGGACATTTAAATGTAACGGCTCTTTTAAAAAAAACCCCTTCTTCTTCCTCCCATTTGAAATTTGAACAAACGAGAGAGAGAGACAGAGAGCTCCAACGGAAGCCCACCGCCATACGCGTCCCCTCATACCTTTAAGTCCCTCAGTAATTCTTTCTCTCCACTCAAACCCTACTCATTACGCTCAAGGGTAAAGGGTCTCTCTCTCTGTTTATATCAACCACGCCTTGCCCTTCCTCAAAGACAAAGGCCTCTGTAAATGTCTTTATTTCTTCTTCGTTTTTCCATGGTTCAATGATGAGAATCGTTCTTTTCCCTCATTATTCTTTGTTGAATCGGTGAAATTGTGATATTAGTTTCGAGACTAAAGGATTAACTGTTGTTATTCGGAAGTTTCGTTTGTGCTTTCTGACAGTTTTCTTGAAACAATTTGGGTTTTCTTCGTTGGAGATCTTGCTGAAAGACACCAATTGCCCAAGAGACAGTCACACAGGTCCAGCGTCACGAAAATCCCATCCTTTTTTCCCAGTTGAATCTTTGGTAAAGCTTTTACGTTTCTCTTTTATGCGATTATATGAACTGATGGTTTCGTTCTCATTTGATTTATGGTCGAATTGTTAAGAAACTAATGGCTTTTTCCAGATGGGTGTTTCTTGCATATTCATAATATACATGTGTGTGTGTGTACAGACAAATGTTCTTTTTATATGATCTATGACACACACACCCAATTCTTGTAAGCTTGTTGATTGAATTGACTATATCAGGTTTTGTCCACTTTAAGAAATCTTAAGTTTTGATTGAATGTGGGTCTTGCAGAGTCGTTGCAAAGATGAATGATCTTATGACAAGGTCGTTTTTGAGTTACGTTGATTTGAAGAAACAGGCCATGAAAGACCTCGAAGCAGGGGCCGACATCGAGATGGGGCAACTTGACCCCGTTGATGAAAGAAATCTCTCACAGTTCTTTGAAGAGGTGGCTGCAACCAAGGCCGATATGGAAGAGATCACCAATCTGCTTCTTGACCTTCATGACCTGAATGAAGAGACAAAGTCCACTCATAGTGCTAAGGTTCTTCGAGGGCTCAGAGATCGGATTAATTCTGACATGATCACTGTTCTCAGGAAGGCAAAAATCATCAAAACTAGACTTGAATTGCTTGATCAATCAAACATAGCTAATAGGATTGTCTCGGTAGCTTATAAAGAAGGAAGCCCGGTTGATCGAACAAGAATATCAGTGACTAATGGTTTGAGACTGAAATTGAGAGATATGATGAACGATTTTCAGGTCTTGAGAGAAAAGATTGTCACAGAACATAAAGACGGTCTAAAGAGGAGGTACTATAGTGCCACCGGGGAGGAACCAAGTGAGGAAGTAATTGAGAAGATGGTTGTGGGGGGTGAGCAGGTGGGAATTTTTGAAGGGAAGACAGAGCTGGTGATGGAGAATCAGGAAAGGCATGAGGCTGTGAAGGACATACAGAGAAGCTTAATTCAGCTTCACCAGGTGTTTCTTGATATGGCTGTGATGGTGGAGACCCAAGGTGAACAGATTAACGATATCGAACAGAATGTGGCTAATGCTGAAGCATATATCAGCGGTGGGACGAAAGAATTGAATCAAGCTAAACAGGTGAAGAAGAGGAGGACATGGGTTTGTTGGGTTGGGGTTGTGGTGCTGGTGTTTTTATTGGTATTGCTTATTTCAATTCTATTTTGAAAAATTGGACATCATCACTGGGTTATGCTTGATTTTACATTGTTTGTCCAGGAGGTTTGGTCCTGAAGTACAGTTGTGCTTGAGCTTTTTGTCTTGAAGAGTCATTTTCCGTTGGAGTTTCTTCTTGTATCTATCGTTTTAAGGGCAATGTGTTTGATGATATCTGTTCATCATTCACTATATATACTTCTACAATTTTGGGTTGTTCAATTATGGATATATTTGAGTCTAAAAGAATGTAATGTTTGTTTGCATATTCTGTTTGAAATATCTGAACTGATCATTTTGTTGGGTAACTAATATTGATGAAGTGGTTTTTTTTCCTTTGTATACTCGATGGAAGCTTATGCATTTATGGTTTTTCTTTGTCTAAACATGCTCAATGTCTTGTTAATAACAACAGCTTCTGAAAGTTAGGGTTCCCCTAACGTCTTGTTTGGCAATGTGTTGAGTCCATTCTTTCCATTTCTTTGACCAGCATCTGAATTATTGCCTCAGAACTTCGAGTGTCTAAAGCCTGGCTTGAAGGGTCGCTTTTATGGTTGGGGATAGGTGTAGTTAAACTATCTCAAATAGACACAAGAGTTTTGATAATTTAATTTAACCTAGCCATCTGCTATTGTTGTCATGTTCACGGCCGTGTCATATATACATTCCTCTGTTACTGTCTCTCTAGTAATTTGGGCAGGGAATTTACGGATAGCTTAGCACTTTTTTATTGGGCATGTTATATTTTTACTTGGTCTTGATCATGTAAAATACTAAAATGGTAGGATGATAACATTAACAGTGGCTTATTGGATCTTTAGATTAGCTCTCTCCTTTTCTGGTTATGATAGCTTTGCTCAACTTCATAATAAACCTTGTCATTAACAACAACAAAAAAATAAAAAAATAATAATAATAATAATAAACCTTGTCATTAGGAATCAGCACTCTGTTTTGTTCCCTTTTATGTTCAACTTTGATAGGCATTTTGTAGTACTGAACTTAATGCTGGGATGGTGGTAAGCATTAAACGTCACATTGACGATGCATACTAGATATTGAAAGCTAAAATAGTGGAAAGCGAGGAGGACATGGCTCCGGCAGGCCTTCATATAAAATCAGGGGTCATATAACATAAGCATTGAATTTTATGGTACACCAATTGGGGTTCAAATTACATCCCGTACCAACCAATAAATCAAACATTTCATTTTCTTTTTTTTTTTTTTACAATGTTTTTGCCTTGACTCCTGCAGTTTACAGGATATTATTACCCAAAAAACTGTCAGCTCCACCATCTTCCAACCCCAAACAATTCTGTCAATTTTAATCATATTTTTAAATAACTAACATGGAGGCAGATCTTTAGGTGGAGGCAAAATGGATTGATCTGGTCCTTTCCCATCCTCCACGACGAATGCCATCTTTAATCCCCAGCCAGTGTGCAGCTCCAAGTGACAGTGCATGAACCACACACCTACTCAACAATCCAATGCACAAACAAGCAGCAGTTGTCAATGAGTATTTTACATAAAACTAAGGCAAGAAATGGAATAGAGAGTGCTAATTGCTTTCATTGTTTTTCTCTCTCCCTGTGGTTGTTTAGCACAATATGTGATTGGGAGATGGTGAGCATACCTGGATTATTAGCTGTAAACCTTATGGCAGTCCAACCACCAGTGGGAACTCCAACTGTATTTCTTTCTGGAGGATCCACCAAGTTGTATTTTGCAGGGTCTTTCTTAGCATCAAAATTCCCAATTCCAGTCCCAACAACAAAGAAGTTGTAACCATGAAGATGGAATGGATGAGACTCCACGGTGAGAAGATTGGTATCCTGCAACACCAACTCCACTGTTGAATTGAATGCTATCTTACTAAGCCGTGTGCCTACTGAAGTTTTGAGGTTGGCTGTAAGTGGTGCACCAGTGTAGTTAAAAGGCCTTGGAGGATTATCTGGGAAATCTGTGGTAAACACCCCCTTAAGGTTGAAATAGTGAGCTTGAAGAAGGCCAATTTTAGGCATGACAAAAGAGATATTGTTCAAGGAAGCTGCAACTTGTGTTCCATTCTGGCAAGTTGGGCAGGGGTTTATTCCCAAACCAATTGTGTAAAAAAGATGTCTATCAACTTTGCGTGGAACATTTGCTGGAAACTGTGGAGAATTCAGGCTTTTAAGCTTGGCATTGTAGCTTAGTGCAGAGGCAGTGTCATTTGGCTTGGGCAAATGAGGAAGGATTGGGAGAACAGTGTTTGGGATGCCTTTATATTGCAGTATAGCAGTGGCAGTTTTGTTATCAATGGAAAGTGGAGCATCCATGAATGCCCTAGCAGCCATGAAATATCTGCTGGGAGCTTGATTGGCTTGAATGAGAACATTTGTTGTCTGCCCGGGTGCTATTAAAATGGCTTGAGTTGTGAAGGGTTTTGTGTATACTGCATCAACCTCTACCACTGTCATGTTGTGCCCGGCAATGGCAAAGAAAAGCTCGTCGTTGAGTGCAGCGTTGATGATTCTCAGCAGATACGTCTTTCCTTGTTCAACCTCGATAGTATAGGTATCTGAAACAGAAGTAAAAACATGACTGCAGTTTATAAGGGATATATTGGCAAAAATCCAGAATTTTGTGGGAGGAAGGAATGTAAATAGTCCAGAGGAAGTTTGGTGCTGCTATACACTGTTGTCATGAACCAACTTAAGAGGCCAAACCATTAAGGTTAAGAAGTTAACCATGTTGGATTCAATTTTACTTTCGCTTACTGTAATGTTATCGGCCAGTGTTATATATAATATTATCTACTTTTGGTTAGATAGCGTGAATTTATCGAGCACTTCACACACACTTCATTAAGCAATGTGGGATTAGGTTACCACACTTACATTTTTCGGAGCATGGGAAGAGAGGCCCAGGCTTTCCATTGATTGTGTGTGCATCTGACATGTTGGGTGGCAATCCCAGCTTGTTGGCTTCTTTAACAAGCCCTTCAACATCAGTATTCCACCATTCTCCTACAGCATCATCAATTATATAGCAATCTCAGTAAGCTAAAGTTATTTTACACATTATTACGAACAATAAATTCAAAAATAACACGACTAATTAATATGAATCATGAATAGGTCGAATCAGACACAAATATCCCATTTACTGGTAATGTAAGAAAAATGGTAGATTTTTTTTTCCATTTCATTAAAAGAAACATCACGAAAATACAACACGAAATCGTATTGACCTGATCCATAATAACAAGATATGAACATGACATGACCTGATCTAAAATAACACGGTACAAACATCACATGACATCCATAGCTAACATGAAAAAGTTCAAATTTGTATTTTAATAAACTCACCCAAGAGTAAATTGAATTCAAAGTTAGGCTGAGGGAAAGGAAATGGGGTTCCTTGCTTGGGCATGATGACAATGGCACCATGGACAGTGGCCCTTAGCCAAAGGATATGTGCATGCCACCATAGGGTTCCTCTCTGTCCTGTTACATTGAAAGCATAGGTGTAACTATGCCCAGTCTTGATTGGGCATTGTGTTATGTAAGCTGGTCCATCTGCCCAGCCATTGCGAAATTGCTTTAAACCATGCCTGCAATATTAATCACCACAGATTTCATTCAAGGAAAGCCAAATGTCTGCATAGGGGGTGAAACTTGGATTGGTTAACCCAGATCTTACCCGAAATTCAATATTTTGACAAAGATTTTCAATATTCTCGTTGGGAAGGGGTTAAAAAGGGTAATACTCGGGTTGAGATCTAGGATTTTCAATATTCAACTTGAATGCACAATTCTTGGTTTAACTCAAAATGAATTCGAATTGATCCCGATTTTCAACTGGTGTTGTATGACCTGATAAAAATAACTGAATGAACTAGACTTAATCATTATGTAACCAAGTTCAACCGGAGTAAAAAAATCAAGTATAGGTAATACTCATGTTAAAGGTTTTGGGTTGCCCCAGAACTGAGATTTTTATAATTTGGATTAGAAGGATTGAGAAGTCAACTCATCCAACCTATTAGTTGCACCCTTATTATATCTACATGGAATGGCATTTCTTATTCTTCATTTGACCCTTTTGGCAATGGTTCCTACCAATGAATTGACATGTTGTATTGTGCATAGTTGGTGACATTAACAAGAACTTGATCTCCTTCTCTGACATAAATTGTAGGTCCTGGGTACATCCCATTTACAGTGACAATTGGCTTTGCATGGCACAGCCTGCTAACATTCTTCACTTGTATCTGCAATTCAGATCACAAAAAAATATTACTCAAGAAACTAACAGCAATAGGAAAGTCCGATGAAAAAGATAATCCAATACACGAGCCTCCTTTACTATAGAAAATCAAACATACGTAATATATTATCTTATGCACTGGGAGGCTATTTTCATATAAGTACAATATTAATATGAAATATACTCACATTAAACTCGTATTTTTTCGTAGCAGCATCAACCGGAAGAGAGATGAATCCAATGAAACAAATGAGAAGGAAATGTGTACCCCAGAGAAAACCATGGTGTTGCACCATTTTCACCATCCCAAAAATGTTTGATTCTGGTGTAAGGTTTGTTTTGATGATACATGAGGGTTATGTTTTAGTGATTTTATAGTGCTCAAAAGAGGGTAGGAGAATCCATCAATTTGTTAGAAGAGGGTAGAGAGGGAGAGAGAGAGAGTTGCTGTTTTAGGTAGAGAATGTAAGGAGTTGTCCACCATAGCTTGTAAGCAAAATACTGATAGGGACTTCACAAGGCATATTTAGCTAAAAAAGAAACAAAGAGAAGCTGAGGACGTAGTAAAATAATGGGTATTTTAGCATGAGAGCTACGTTAAGCCAAACTTGGGCTCTATGAGCTGTACCGTTAAGGGAAAGTATAAGGACCAAAAAGTTTACCATGCTTTTTGACTCAAATGATAAATCCTTGTAACATCTCTCATTCTGTATAAATTCTGACCAATGGCAAATCATATTCTTTCTCTTTGAGTTATTTTTTATTTATTATTATTTTTAAAATACATCACAATGATAAAGAAAATAAAGACACAACGTCTATGTATGTATAGTATAACGACATTCTATAAGTTATGTAAGATGGTATCTGAAGGACACTCCCCCCCCCCCCCCCCCCCCCCCCCCCCCCCCCCCCCCCCCCCCCCCCCCCCCCCCCCCCCCCCCCCCCCCCCCCCCCCCCCCCCCCCCCCCCCCCCCCCCCCCCCCCCCCCCCCCCCCCCCCCCCCCCCCCCCCCCCCCCCCCCCCCCCCCCCCCCCCCCCCCCCCCCCCCCCCCCCCCCCCCCCCCCCCCCCCCCCCCCCCCCCCCCCCCCCCCCCCCCCCCCCCCCCCCCCCCCCCCCCCCCCCCCCCCCCCCCCCCCCCCCCCCCCCCCCCCCCCCCCCCCCCCCCCCCCCCCCCCCCCCCCCCCCCCCCCCCCCCCCCCCCCCCCCCCCCCCCCCCCCCCCCCCCCCCCCCCCCCCCCCCCCCCCCCCCCCCCCCCCCCCCCCCCCCCCCCCCCCCCCCCCCCCCCCCCCCCCCCCCCCCCCCCCCCCCCCCCCCCCCCCCCCCCCCCCCCCCCCCCCCCCCCCCCCCCCCCCCCCCCCCCCCCCCCCCCCCCCCCCCCCCCCCCCCCCCCCCCCCCCCCCCCCCCCCCCCCCCCCCCCCCCCCCCCCCCCCCCCCCCCCCCCCCCCCCCCCCCCCCCCCCCCCCCCCCCCCCCCCCCCCCCCCCCCCCCCCCCCCCCCCCCCCCCCCCCCCCCCCCCCCCCCCCCCCCCCCCCCCCCCCCCCCCCCCCCCCCCCCCCCCCCCCCCCCCCCCCCCCCCCCCCCCCCCCCCCCCCCCCCCCCCCCCCCCCCCCCCCCCCCCCCCCCCCCCCCCCCCCCCCCCCCCCCCCCCCCCCCCCCCCCCCCCCCCCCCCCCCCCCCCCCCCCCCCCCCCCCCCCCCCCCCCCCCCCCCCCCCCCCCCCCCCCCCCCCCCCCCCCCCCCCCCCCCCCCCCCCCCCCCCCCCCCCCCCCCCCCCCCCCCCCCCCCCCCCCCCCCCCCCCCCCCCCCCCCCCCCCCCCCCCCCCCCCCCCCCCCCCCCCCCCCCCCCCCCCCCCCCCCCCCCCCCCCCCCCCCCCCCCCCCCCCCCCCCCCCCCCCCCCCCCCCCCCCCCCCCCCCCCCCCNCCCCCCCCCCCCCCCCCCCAATCTTTTTCCAATGCCTCTTGAATTGTAGGTAATATTGATTTTTACTCTAGGGGTGTTAAAGTCAATTTATGCGCATCTCGACTAATTTTCTTTCTGATATAGTCAAACACTGAATATCCATGTCATGATTATAGATTTTATGATGGATTTATCCCTCATAGTTTGATCGCAAGAGAACTGTCAAGTTTCAAACTCAAGGTGTCTACATTTACAACTTGTCACTGTCTTTGGTGGACTATCCCTTCGAGTTTACATGAATTATATCCCTACCAACAACCTTTGAGGATTAAAAAACTTAGCTTTTTCATGAGAAAAACTCACTGCTTGTAGAAGATTGGAATTAACCTGCTACAACAACTAATAAGGTAGTTTTTTTCTTTCACAAACCAAAAAAAAAAAAAAAGCAAACAAACAAATAATGTAGTTGGAAGAACATTGACACCTCAAACAGGTTTTGAATGGAGAATCATAAAAAATAAGATTTTCGGTCGAATGCATATCCGACCAAATCGACCTAAAAAATTCAATCAAATGTTATTTGACTTCAATATTAAGCACTAACACAAATGTTTCTTCCTTAGAATGGTACCCATGTTTCATGCACAAAGTTCATTGGGACCTAATTTATTATAGTTATTGGATTGATAGTGGTTTCTATTAAATATTAAAATTTGATATTAATCTAATAAAATTTAATCATTAAGTCAGCAAATTAAGTTATAGTTTTATGTCTCAATAACATTACTCTTGACTTTCTAGTCTGACCATGTGTATCAGCTTGTTTAATTCTAAATGCTAATTCAAGTGGTAACATGAATAAATTGTAACATCTTGAATTTGAATTTTAACAACCCCTTAAGGTCAGACCATAAAAAATTTATCCCTCGTGAATATCTTAATCCCGGTGTGTATAACTTATTTTTAAATGGACTAAAAAAGAAGATTAATCAAAGTGTACGTAAACTTACCGATACCCTGACCATCGAATAAAACAAAATAATGGTTACATATTGAGTCACATGCGCATTGCATCGTAATCAAGTTCAAAAGTAATCATTACTCTAGTCAATTATACATTGTGTTGTAGCTAAACATGTCAAAAGATGATATTTTGATCTAAATTTGAAACTCATCAATCGGGTATAAGTTGATTTTTTTGACTTTGATTATCCAAATCCAAATCTATTATGTCATCTTTTACAATTCAATCAATTATTAAACGAGTTAAAATATATAAAAATAAATAAATATAATAAATTTTAGTGATTATTTGTTAAAAGTTATGGAGATTCAATCAAATTTGTAAGTTTTATCGAATTTAGATATGGACGTTATTCAAACAATTAAAAATCTATATATATAAAACAATTAAATAAGAGATTGGAGTGCTTGAGAAGCCTTCCCTTCTCATTTCCTAATTTTTTAAAATTTAGAATTTTTTAATTCAAGATTTAAGATTCTCTCTAATCAAGATTTGAAATGTGTCATTGGTAATTACCCACTAATTTCTCAATAACTAAAACCACTATTTTTTAAAATTTATTCAAAAAAATACTTTTTATCACCTAAAAACTTTATATAATTATTTATTTAACTTCTCAAGTGATAAAATTAAAAAATTAAAAAAATACAAATTATAATCCCGACAAGCTACTAATAAGGGCATGTTTTTTTCAAATACAAATAAAAGATGAGATCGGATAAGTAGTTCTCATATAATCCATAAAATGGTATTTAAAAAAAATACTATTTAATCTTATTCTTCTATAACAAGTTTGGATCAAGTATGAGATAATATATAAATTTATAATTGTAATATCAAATTTTTGTTTGGATTAAGTAATAGTGTATTATATTAAATTTCAAAATAACAAAATAAATATCGAATGTAAGAATTAGCATAATGTGTAACATTTATATGAACTGTGACTCTAAGTTTACAAGTATAATATAGTAATTGCCTTTTTAATATTTAACTTGTTAAAAATAAAACTACCTACTACATAGTATTCATTACTATCTAATATTAGATATTAAATGACAATAATAAACTGGATCGGGATTAATTAAAATTAATACTATGTTATTATAATTTCTGAAGGGGTTAGCCCTCGTGATGACACGTGTTACAACATTAAATAAGCTTACGTGAGATTGACAAGACTAGTCACGTGACGAAGAGGTCATTCACCAGGTCTCATGATCCGAGCTGAACTGATCAAAAGATTTGGCAAATAAAGAAAGAGCTCGGCCCTCTTTATTATCGAGCTCATGAATCTAGTAGCTTAGCAAGGGAAGTGCTCGGCTTGTACCAAGCCAAGTTCCCTAGAGTGTTCGGGAAAACAATTGAAAAGATTGGCTTGTGCCAAACCAAGTCTCTAATCGTTTGGCAAATACCAAGTGTGCTCAGCACTCAATACGTCCGAGTAGTTCAAAACGATAGATAGAAAGATAAATAGTCGTCTAAAATTCAGGCAATCAGATGAACGAAATCGAGAAGATTGAAGATATCAAGAGAAATTGTTGGAGAAGTATCTGTAACTTCCCAAACTCAACTACTGAATGAAAGAAAGGTGTGCCACTTTGAACCTAACATTGTGAAAACCCTAAGGGGATAATGATTTATAAAAAGTAAAAGAGACCAAGGTAAAAGGTATGCTGAACTCTACCGGTCTTCTTCCATTCGTTTGAGTACCTCTACTGACTTAAGCATCGGAGTGCCTTCGATCGAAGCACTTTGATCTTGGGCAATTTGTTCATTTTGCAGGAAGTGGAAGGTTGGGAGATCAGGTTCAGAATTATTCATCACCAGAAATATCCAATCCAATTTCCAGTAGGAGGTATCGTCAATTTTTACCTCTTACATTTTGGCGCCGTCTGTGGGAAAATCTTCATCTTTTAGAACAAAAAGCTACGATGTCAAGACTCAGAAGTGCAATTGGATCACCCGTAGACAGTTTTACCTTGGGGAACTCAGATCCTGTGACTCTTCCTTCTGACAACAACGCAAGGTTGCATGCAGTCAGAAGCCCCTCCAGAATCCGTGAAGGTGACGAGGTATCCTCCGCTAGTTTCAAGCCTTCGAAAAACCAGAACCAACAAAGCGAGGATCATGGTAAATCCCTCCATGCCGAGAGGAAAAACCACTACTTGGCAAAGCTGGTCCAGTCCCTGCCGGATCGACTTGATGCCCATAACAAGCTGTTCAAGAAATTCTATGCTAGGGAGAAAGATTTGATCAAAGAAAATGAGGAGTTAAAAGCCGAGTTAAAGAAGATGACCAGAAGGGAAAAATGGGCAAGAGAGGGTCGACAAGAAAGTCCAAAAAAGAAGCCTAGCAGAGTTAAAATTGCCGATGAGAAAGATTACCGACAGAAGA